CCCTGATCTCTCTCCGGCTGATACTCACCTGCCCCATTCAGCCACTCACATCTTACAGCCGCCACTGAGGCTGGTCCTTCAGCCCCAGCCAGCCAGAGAGCTCCCTGAGGACAGGGACAGTGCCTGCCTCTACCTCCCCCACAGCACCCTGTACAACCCTCAGCCTAAGAGATGTCAGAGCTACCAGCTAAGTGCCAAGGAGGCAAGGGGACCTCATCTTCTGACCTCCTCTAACCCCACAAGAGGAAGACAGATCACCATCAGTAGCCCAAGGCCTATTCCTGCAAGGCCAGACATATTGCCTCCCTCCAACCCTTTCACCAACCGTTCTTCCCACAGCACCCACTACCTCTCTGCTGGGTTCAATAATTCGCTGCAGTGGCCACACAGAACTCAGAGATTATGGGGTTTATTAGGGAAGCAACAGACTATGATTCAAGTTCAGAAATGCATTCAGTCTCTCGCAGCCAGCCGTCTCACTCAGCAGCCCGCAGTCTCAGTAGCACATCGCTCTCTCCGCAGTGCGTGTCTCTCACGTCTCTCTTTCAGCAGCATGTCTCTCTCACATCTCTCAGGAGCGTGTTTCTCTCAGAAGCACATCTTTCCCAGCCAGCAGTCAGAGAGACTCCTTCTGCCTCTAGGAGGGCTCCTTTTGAGCCTAGCAGAGTGGCCCAAATCAACCAGTCCCAACATCAGAGTTCTACACACCTGAGACAACAAACATCCCAGAAAATTACTTTGTGTTGCTACAACAGAAACACCCCAGGTGGATAACTTTAACAATCAAGAGCTACTCAGTTGCTCACCATGGAGTTTACAAGGATTTATGGCTAGAAAAGCCACACTATGTAATTTACTACACCACACTAAGCAACTACTAACAATGTTTACTAACATCTGTGATAATTTTAGGGCAATAGCTTTAAGATAGTGTGGTAGCAGAACTCTATGATGTCACCCAAGATGCCATCCCCCTAATGTTCCAAATCCAAACTCAACCCAACCCAACCCATTACTGTTGAGTCAATTCCAACACATAGCAACCGTATAGGACAGAGTAGAACTGCCCCGTACGGTTTCCAAAGCTGTCAAGCTTTACAGAAGCAGACTGTCACATCTTTCTCCCTCGGAGTGGCTGGTGAGTTCAAACCACCAACATTTTGGTTTGCAACTGAGCACTTAAACACTGTACCACCAGGGCTCCTCCCCTGGTTTACAATTCTTTATGTTGTTGTTATCAGGTGCCGTCAAGTCATCTCTGACTCATAGCGACCCCATGCACAGC